AAACAAACAAAAAAATCCAAACAAAATAATAATATTGATGTGGTCGACAACAATGTTACTATAACAACAGTAATATTACCATCAACCACAGTAATATTATTGTGTTTACAGTAATATTACACTAATAGATAGTAATATTATTACGTCTCTCCGTGAATAACTCAAATAAAACAAATACCCAAATAAATAATAATATTGATGTGGTTGAGAGTAATATATTTGTGTTTACAGTTATTTTACTGTCAACGACAGTAATATAGTTACGTTGCTTTGTCAACAAATAAAAAAAAAGAACAAAAAAAAAAAATAATAATATTACGTTAATTTACTGTCAACGGAAGAACAATTACATAAATGTATTGTCAAGGGCAGTACAATTACGTTAATGTACTGTCATTGACAGTATAATTACGTTAATTTACTGTCATTGACAGCACAATTACGGTCAACGTTTAGCGGCGGACGTAAAATTCAAAAAAAAAAAAAAATCTAAAAAAAGTCAACGCCGGAGACTGGCGGTCGACGCCGGAATCCGGCGGCGGAAAAAAAAACCGAAAAGTCAACACCAGAATAGGGCGGCAAATTTTTTTTTGAAAAAAGTAAGTTTTTGAAAAAAAAAATATCAAAATTGAACTTTTCTGGTCAAAATTTATTAAATTGGGGTTACAATTAAGAATTTGGGTATAAATGGTTTGGAGTAATTTTGTCATATACATGAATGTGTCCTTTATTTATAATAAATATTAAAGGGATGGGCTTATTGGTGAAAGAGATATAGCCCCTAAACCTAGAATGATAAAGATGTTTGGTTAGAGACCTATGCACAAAAACCCCAATAAAAAATAACAATTCCAATGGATTAGGATTTTGCTTGTCCATTTGCCAATTTGATTTGCTAGGAAAGTAGAAAAAAAAAAAGGGGGCCTCTTCGAGGAAATCCCTTCATTACTTGCACCAAAAAGGCGAAATCCCTCGCCCGGCCCTCAGGGCTCCCATCCATTGGCCCGACAAGTATTTGATGGAAGAATGTAAATCATGGTAACTCAACGGCCCGTTAAGGTAGCGGACCCGGACCTGGTGTCCACAAGGAACCAACCCTCATTGGAGTTGAAATTCCCACACTACAGCTGCCAGGATTCGATCATAGGACCTTGCACCAACTTACCACCTCCGAAACCAGTTGAGCTACACCCATGCGGGCAATCCCCTCATTACTTCTTTTAATGGAGAGATGCCCAAAATATTTCTTTCCGTTTGAGAAAAACCCATACCCATTTTCAGCCATTTTTTTTCCAGTTTTGTCCCCGCCCGCCACATCATCACCGCGTCACGAGCTGATCATCAGGGAATCTTTTTTTCCATTTTTTTTTCTGTATCAGTTTTATTAATCGACTATGGAGCATAGTCGATTAAGTTAAATCGACTATGAAGCATCGATTAAAGAAATTTTTTATTTTTTATTTTTATTTTTTTTAAACTTTTTTTGTTTTTTAAATTTTTTTTCTATATCATATATATTAATCGATATAATGAAGCATAGTCGATTAAAAATCTGCTACGAAAAATAACAAATCTAAACTACAAAAAAAATGCAAAATCAACTATACTTTACAAAAAAAAATATAAGAACATTATAATTGATTTATACAATTGGAATCAATAAACAAAAAATCCAAAAAAAAATGGAGTCGATTCAACCTTAATCGAGTACCAGAGCATAGTCGGTTAAGAATCTACTAGTAAAAATAACAAATCACAACTGCAAAAAAAAAAAAAAAAACCCCAAAATCAACTACATTTTACAAAAAACAAAAATATACCAACATTATAATTGATTTATACAATTGGAATCAATAAACAAAAAATTCAAAAAGAAAATAAAAAACTGGAGTTGATAAACCTTAATCGACTACCAGAGCATAGTCGTTCGCAAATTTCTGTACACGCGCCGTCCTCCGCCCAATCCACCTAAAAACCCTAAATCTGCCTCCCCAGCGTCACCACACTGCCGCCACACCATACGTACTATTCAACTAATCCCTAACAAGAATAAAATAAATAATTCATACAAAAAAATAATGAAAAAAAAACCTTTATCAACATCAATTACAACAGTTATTTTCTCATGCCTCATCCTCGTAGCCGACAATAACCCATTGCGTCCTCGACGACGAGCGTCAGTCATCAGCTTCAACGTCGTCGGTAGAAACCACCGCCGCCAACTAAAGATCCGGCGGAAGGCGGCGACAAATACTCTTCCACCACCACCACTGTCGGGACGTCTTGCTTTTCCTCCGAATTTGAGTCGAGAAGAGAAGAGAGAAGGGAGAAGATGAGAAGACCAGAAAAGCAGAAGAGAGAACGGCAAATGAAATGGGTTAGGGTTTTTAAATGTGAAAATGAGATTTAATATTATTAAGGGTGGTTTGGGAATTATTAAAATAGCATTTCGGTGGAATATTATCCTAGAAGAGACAACGGCAAATGAAATGAGTTAGGGTTTTTTCTAATTACTTTTGGGAGGGGGTGTTTCCTTAACTCATTTTCCTAGATGAGGGGTTCTTGCATATTATCCCAAAAAAAAAAAAAACCTCGGAAATTCGAGATGAAAATAATAATAATGATTACAATATTGATTAATTTAAAAAAAAAACACATAATATGGTATCATTGTGTTTCTTACTTTTATATATAAAGATATTTAACGGGATTTGAATTTAAAAAAAAAAAAAAAAAAACATGTCATCCGTTACGTTAACACTTATATTTATTTGTATTCTAAAAATTGATCAAGGCGGAGGCGAACCCAAACCATTACGATTTTTGTGTAAATGTTTGGAAAATTAGTTTTCGGAATGTGAGGCAGTACGAGGCCGTTTGAGGCGAAAACGGGGAAAAAAAATCTATCGTTCAGTTTTTTAATTTTTTTTCAAATCAAAATAAAATTAAGGATTTTAGTTCATAACCGTTCTTTTCATCCCTCTCTCGACTCTATTATTCTCGTAAGAAAGAAAACAACGTCGCACTCACACAAAACAACCAAAACCCGCTGTACCGCTCTACGAATCGATGAACGAGGATAGAATAATGTTTAAATGATAGGAATAGAATTATTTTTAAAAAATGTCTTATTATTATGAAACTTTTGCCAAGTGGTTATAATATACACATGATGGAGATAAAATCATATTTAAATATCTTTTTATGTATGTTCTAAATTTTACAAATAATATTATATTACGTTAAATATGAAAAATCGATTTGTTTCACTTCATCGCACATTGATCAATCGGCCAGAAGGTAGACCGACCCGACTCATGTTTTTTAGAAACTTGATATGTATTAGTTTTGGGGTTCGATGTTGCATCAACTCACTTATGTCGAAAGATTTTTATCACCGACTAAGCAAACATACATGCTGGGTATACCATCCAATAAGCCATTTTCTGGATATACACATAACTACTTAACATCATCTAACACGTCATTTTCATACTCGAATCTCAAATCGAACAATTGGTAAATTACTATAGAAAGAATAGAATATGAGAAAGAGAGAAATAATAATACGTAATAGAAATCCCCATTGTGTTATGGGTTGATTTACATGGAATAAATATAGAGAAATAATACAAGGTAACAAAATTTGACTAGGTAACTAAATCCTAACTAATCTAGGTAACTCAATCATACTAGAATCCTATTATTACAACAGTTCTATAATATAATACTCTCTAATACGCCTCCGCAGTCGAAACGTGACGAATGTGAAGACTGAACAATCACTTGATAACACGCTCCCGCAGTCGGAACGAATAAACTCCAAAAGTGAAGACTCGACAGAATCCGTGAAACACAACGCTAGAGAATTCCTCTGTGAAAATATTTGCCCAATTGATAGAAAAGAAAGTAATAACGGGAGAGAGAAAATAAATTGCTCTTGCAAAAGAGTTTTTTATTTTTTGTCGAGAGAGAGAAGATATGAGAGGGGGAAGACCGACTAAGAAGAAGAAGATGTCGGAAGAAAAAAAAATATAAGTTACCACCATCGGGGGAGGGAAGAAATTGGGGTGGTGGTCGCCGGCCATGGAGAAGAAGAGAGTCGGCGGCTAGGTTTTAGGCCATAGGCCATGTAGAAGAAAAAGAAAAAGATAGAGAACCACCGGGGAGGGAGAAAATTCGGGTGGTGTTCATAGAAAAGATAGAAAAAGAAAGATATTAAGAGTACCACCACCGGGGAGGGAGGTGAAGAAGAATGGCGGCTAGGTTAAAAAACCTGGTGCTCTGATACCATATAGGAACAATAGAATATGAGAAATAGAGAAATAATAATACGTAATAGAAACCACCATTGTGTTATAGGTTGATTTACGTGGAATATATATAGAGAAATAATGCAAGGTAATAGAGTTTGACTAGGTAATTAAATCCTAACTAATCTAAGTAACTCAATCATACTAGAATCCTAATATTACAAGAGTTCTATAATATAATTCTCTCTAATAATTACAACCACCTCTGAGGTGTGATCAAATTAGGAAAAATTCTCTCTTGTTTGGATAATTATATCTATCCCTCAACTATGAATCTTCTTACACCTCTACCCTTACGGTATCAAATTCAACATAATCATCTAGATATCGTGGAATGTGCTCTAATTTGTACTCGTTTTGTGTAAAAATACAGTTTCTAATGCACCACAATCTGATATATACAAGTCAAGAAGCATATTTTATAATTATCTTATTTCAAAATGTGGAGCATAAAACATAAAACATGTACAAAAACGATAATATTCCATATAATCAATAAGATTTCACTAAATTTAAAACCACAAGGAATATTATAATCAAGAAGATTTCACTAAATTCAAAACAGCAAACTGAACGTTAATGGAGGTTATTGTAATTACCCAAACAGAAGGGTAGTTTTCCGTAATTTTACCAAACCTCAGTCACGGTTGCAACCTACCCAACCAATACATAAATCAGTCTCAAGTCTCAACTGAAAATTAGTGACGAACTCAGCCATGGAACAACAAGCTTCCAAAACCACCGATCAGCCCACCTTTCCTCTGCAAGTGGATTCCGACCACAAAGCCACAGTTTTCCGACCGTTCTCGATATCTCCGCCGCACATGCGCGCCTTCCACCTCGCCTGGATTTCCCTCTTCGCCTGCTTCTTCTCCACCTTCTCCATCCCCTCTCTCCTCCCCGCAATCCGCCAAGACCTCCGCCTCACCGCCGCCGACGTAGGCACCGCCGGAGCAGCCTCCTTCTGCGGATCCATCTTCTCCCGCCTCGCCATGGGCCCCGCCTGCGACATGTTCGGCCCCCGCGCCGCCTCCGCCGCCGTCTCCCTCCTCACCGCCCCCGCCGTCCTCGCCGTCTCCTTCGCCTCAACCGCCAAATCATTCATCCTAGTCCGCTTCCTAATCGGCATCTCTCTCGCGAACTTCGTCTCCTGCCAGTTCTGGATGGCATCCATGTTCTCCGGCGAGGTCGTCGGCGCGGCGACCGGCGTCGCCTCCGGCTGGGCCAGCGCCGGCTCCGGGTTGACGCAGCTCGTGATGCCGTCCGTATACTATTTCCTAACCCATATCGTAAAATTCAAACCCTCATTTGCGTGGAGAGTCGCGTTTACGGTTCCAGCACTTCTACAGATCTTAACGGCGTTAGCGGTTCTCGCCTACGGCCAAGATCTCCCCGACGGAAAATATAAACGGACCCCAAATAACACAAACAAAAACTATTTCAGTATTTTGTTCAACGGGTTGAAGAATTACAGAGGATGGGTTTTAGGGTTAACGTATGGGTTCTGCTTCGGAGTGGAGTTGACGACTGATAATATTATTGCCCAGTATTTTTACGATAGGTTCGGCGTGGGTATGGAGGCGGCCGGCGCAATCGCCGCCAGTTTCGGTTTCGCGAATATAGTTACGCGGCCGGCGGGAGGGGTTGTTTCCGACGAGATGGGGAGGAGATACGGAATGAGAGGGCGGCTGTGGAGCTTGTGGGCGGCGCAGACGGTGGCGGCGGTGCTGTGTGTTGGGCTGGGTCGGATTGAGTCGCTGTGGGGGTCGGTTTTGGTGATGTGTTGTTTCTCTATATTCGTGCAAGCTGCTTCTGGGCTTACATTTGGCGTTGTTCCTTTTGTGTCCAAGAGGTATGTACCCACCGCTTTGCATTCATTTGATTTTATAAATATAATTATTTGATTAATTATTTTCTATATAAATATTTATAGAAAATATTAATTTGATAAGGTTACATAATTTAAATTCCATTTTGGACATGAAATACTCACGAAGGTACGGGTAGGAGTGGAAATTGGATCAAAATGTTCGAGTTTCACTGATTTTAATCCTAAAATTTTATGATCTTGGAATAATATTTTTCATTTCGAATTTCAAAATAAGTTTATTTTTGATTTTTTGATGTTTTCTTTTATCAAGATTCAAATACATATGGGACTACTATTTCCCACCTGATTTTATGAGCTCGAGCAAAAATAAGCTCCTTAAGTTCGTGGTCATAAAAATAAGGGTAAATTACAACATTTCTCTTAGTATGGTCCAATTGCGAAAAAGCCCCTCATGTTTGGATAATTACAACTACCCTTTAACTATGAATCTTGTTACACGTCCGTCCTTATGGTGTCAAATTCAATATAATCTTGTAGATTTCGTGGAATGTTCACTAGTTTGTACTCGTTTTGTACAAAAATGCAGTTTAAGATGCACTACAATCTGATATATATAAGCCAAAAAACACATCATATGATCATCTTGCTTCAAAATGTGAAGCTCGAATGGGATAAAACAGGTACAAAATTGAGAATATTCCATATAATGCAGAAGATTCCACTACATTCGACACCGCAAGGTTGGACGTGTAAGAAGATTTATAGTTGAGAGGGTACCTGTAATTACCCAAATATGGGTGGGTTTCGTAATTTGACCATACCTTAAGATGGTGGTTGTAATTTACTCTAAAAATAATACATTCAAAATTCGAGCTTGACACCCCAAATAACTCCTGTTCATTCATTTAAACTCTAGTAATAGTTAGTTCTTCAATCTTGAGGTAAAATGTAATTATAAAAGAACTCCTTTTTGAGAAATTATATCCATTCCCTTGCACTTTTAAATTTCTTCCATCTACCCCATACAGATTGGTGTTAATGTAAGAAATCTACAAATTACATGGGTGAATGTAATTATTGAAAATAAGAGTTCTTTTGTAATTTACCCATATAATAAAAGTGTAATAATATATGTTTTTTATTTGATAAGCAAAAAGTGTTCTATATTTCATTCCACAAATGTAAGTCAATAATTTAAATATGTAACAATGGCAGGTCCCTTGGAGTAATATCAGGAATGACAGGGAGTGGGGGTACTTTAGGTGCTGTAGTGACACAATTGCTTCTATTTTCAGGATCAAATAATAATATGTCAACCCAAAAAAGCATCTCTCTCATGGGTATTTTGATGTTTCTTTCTACACTACCACTCACCCTATTGTACTTCCCCCACTCTGGTGGAATGTTCTGTGGCCCTTCTCACCACCCTAATAGTGAACAAGATTATTACAATTTGCTTTCTTAAGTAATGATTATATTTATTTAATTTGTTCCTTGTTTATATTTTGTATTGTGTTTTATTAATATTGCCTTCAATTGTATTAATTAAAGAATCACATTAATAAACATTTGGTGTGCATTGATCAGAAAACATTACGGCTATGAGAAATAAATATTATGAGTTTTCTTCGATCCTGCTTTAATGGCGCAACTACCACGGTGGAATTGAATCGATGATCCATCAACTCCGTTATTCCTTCAATCATTTGAAGGACCAGACATGACTTTGGTTTCTCAACTGCTAAACGGTGATGATTCCGGCACATTTGCCCTATAGAGCCCGGTAAGGAAACTCCGAACGTACTTTAGGCTCAAACCCCATGAGGTTGCCACTAACGCCATCACCCTTCCCCATAAAGAATGGGCGGCTGATAGATGGGACTAGTTTTGCGGCTGAAGTGACAACGACGGAAATGTCTGTAGTGACAAAGACCGGAGAACCATCCACGTAAGGTCGAAGCGAGCTCTCCTTCGAAGCAAGCGCCCTCCTTTTAGAGAACGAGCCCCTGCCCCGCATAATCAAGAGAGCTCGCTAGTGCCGATAGAGCTCGCTAGTGCTGACAGACCAGAAAACCCGGAAGATAACATCACCCGGCCCCACGAGGGGATAAGGCTGTAAAGTGACACCGGGACCAACCGCCTTACCTAAAGAGCAGGTATAAATAACAATCTTGAGGTAAAAAGATAGATTGAGAAATATACCTATCTTGCCATTTTTACATATATAGTTTCTTCTCAAGAAAATACCCAACTAACTTAATCGTCGGAGTGCTAACGCCGGGAGACTCCTCCGGATACTCCTTTTCACAAGTCTCTTGCGCTTGGAGTGGGCTTTGCTCTTTGGGCCTTTTTTCGGTGGTCATTCAATCAATCACATACCTTAGTTTCTCTATTCAACCACTTAGATCAAATCAGGTGAGGATTGTTTTTCAAATCAAACAATGAGGAAATGTGGATGCAACTTCGCTAAGCCTATGAAGTGGATCGTCGATGGTGACAGAAGTTGTAGGGAATAGTTGGATAATGCGACAAAATGACTCACGATTGTTATCGTAAAATAACTTATTTTCTGTACAATTTTGATCGAAATATAATTAATAAACTAGTTCAAAAGACAGTTCAAAGTAGCTTACCTTGTAGATGTGAATATTGTAGGAATATATAGGAAATTGTTATTAAGTCTGAAAGATTATTCTAAAACACTCTAAAGTCTCAGAATTGTACTTATCTTCTAGATTATGTATATAATATTATAGAGTGCTCTCAAAATTAAATCAACTAACACCGTCCATTAGAGATTTCAAGTAGTATAAATTGTAGTATAATTAATTTTTAAATCAACCAAAGAAATGGAAATACTTCCATAATAAAAATATTTGAATTTACATTTATGTTGCCCTTTAACATGAAAATAACTAACACTACACCACAAAACGTCATCTATAGCGTTTGAAAAATGCTATTGTAGGCTATTATAGCGCTTTTACAAACGCCATGTCTGCCGGAGCTATAATAGGCCGGGACTTTTTCATAGCGTTTTGTAAGCGCTATCTTAAAATTTCTATGTATAGCGTTTTTGTTGAGTTACTATTTACCCTGTTATAGCACATATCAAACGCTATTGTTTCAGCAACTATAGCATAAAATAAATGCTATGCCATACTATAGCGTCTGTTTGTGAGCTATTGTTGCATCATTAATTTTGTTTAATAATGCTATTGAACACATTGATTTTCTAATAAATTTGGTGTTTACAAATAATAAACATAATAATATAACAATCATATTATTGTAAAACATCAATCCTGTATAATATCACCAAAAATTGTCACTAATATTTTAACCAAGTTAATACATGAACATTAAAAGGCTAACACTATCTTTAATATTCTTACAGAACAAAAATAAAAGAAATATTGTCTCAATAAAAAAAAATGGTCTATGCTACAAAACTAGCATTTATCATTATTTGAAGGAAAAAAATCTTCTAACTTAAAGATCTCCAATGTTCTCGTCCTGTCTTCAATTCAGTGAGCACTTTCGCTGAAGGTTCCAAGTTTCTCTGTAAAAAATGACATAGAAATAAAATATTAAATGCATTGCAAGGTATTGGTTAAGTGCATATTTCAACATAGAATAAATACTTGAAAAAACTCGTATTGGTTAAGTGCACTTCAGCATCTGCAGTATATGATGTCCGTATCAAATAGCAAATGCATACCATTTCCCATATGGAATAACACACAGTGTGGCACTTTGCAATATACTATATAATTGCATGTGTACAGTATTTTATCAACAAGTATAACATCAAGTGATTTGGGAAATGTGTGTTTGTAATTAGTTTACCGTAGTAATCGCACTTTCAACAGGTAATAATCTTTAAAATTTATGAATTTCAAAAAGAGAGGCTATCAGGTCGGCTTCCTCAAGCTAACCATGAAGCGGGGTGATTGAAATTCACTAGAGTAGCAAACACGACAACTACAAACACATTATGCCCTGCAAAAAAAGTAGGATCGACAAGTAATTATTACATATACTGAACATTTTGAATAAAAACATAGGAAATAAATTATAAAGAATTTACAGCCACTCACAGTTAAGAGTTTACATTCATAAAGAAGAGGTGGAATAGAAGACCACACCATGAATCAAAAATGGGAACCGAATTGCAATGGTTATCATTAATCCAATAAATAAAATGCTCCAAAAGCCATAGAAAGGCACACCTGTTTTAAATTATAATATTAAAATCATTGGAAAAAATGGCAAAACTATCAATATTAAGTTGACTAGATGAGCATATTATAAAAATGAAAAATAACAAAACATCATACAAGTTCTCCTACACTTATAGTTCGTGGACTAGTCCCCAATTCATTAAGCAAAGTACTCACCGGAAATATTTCTGCATTTTGAATCTGTGCAATTTGCTTATAATTTCGGCAAAGTAGCTACACAAGACAAGAGAAGACAACAGAGAAGATAAAATTCATATTTGATCCGTAAAAGAAAATCAGCCGCACATGATAAAATACTTGTTATATTTTTATAAATTTTACGAGCCAACACAAAATCTTAACCAAAATTGCTCAACAAAATGACTCTAGGCGAAAGGATAAATCACTCCTATGAGAAGAATCGGTTTCTCACGGTCGTCACGTCATATTAGAAGAACTATATGAAAATTCAACAATTTTCACACAAATCCATAAGCAATTGGACTCTAAAATATATTAGAATCATAAAACCCATACTTAACCAAACAAGAACACTCACAACCGAAAGAATATAACCAAATGAATTGAGTAGAATTAGGGATTTATGCAAATAAATTAAAATTAGGAAAATCACAAATAATTAAAGAAATAGATAGTGAGAACAAGATGTCGAAGAGAGAGGGAGAGATACGGGGAGACGACCGTGTCGGACCCGTCGGCAGATCGACGAGAGAAAGCAGTCCCTACTGGCTTTGAGAGGAATCACAAGGCCTGGGCCTAGGTATGGCTAATCTATAGCGTTTATTTTTTAATTATTTTAAGCCGAATAAGTTATTATAGCATTTATTGAGAAAACGCTATAAGATAATGCTATTAAAAGTCAATTATGTTGTAGTGTAAAAGTTCATTTTCTATTTTTATGTTTTCCATGTTCGTTTCGAAATGAGTAGTGCATGAGTTGACAAGGCAATCCGTCAAAGATAGAAAGCATGGTGGTGGGGTCCGGTTTGGAGAAATGGAACGATTCCCTTTCTGCACACGGAACATCATATATGATACACAATAGGTTACACACAAGCTCTGATAGTCACATTGCTTATGTGTGCTCCCTTTGTGGAAGCATCTTGAATACATCGCTCATCCAATTAAACACAAGAGAGCTACATGATATGATCGTTAGGGTCCCGCCAAGTGCCACACCCCGTACCCCAAGAATGTTACATGTGTTGTCTGCCAAATTAGTAAAGGAATAGAGACTGTTTGTATGCCGTACGTCTTCATATATTTAGCCACATAATTGACAGCCATAAACTTCAAAATGACTTTATAGTAAAAGCAGTAGTGGAGTAGTAGCTTAACATTTGAAGGTACAAGACAAAATTAGGTGAATGTTTAAATACAAGGCAAAGTGGTAAATCGTAAAGAGTAGCTAGGCTTTCGATTCACTCGCTAGTTGATCTCCCTATTTGAAACCCTTTTTTTTGGACAATCCATCACATTTAGATACTCACATTTTAGATGTCTAAGATATGTAAGATTGGATTTTAATATTTGTTTTAAAGAGGATTATTACTGAAATGGGATGAATTTAGATATGTTTGTTTTCGAAGGATTCATTTTAGAATTGATCTAAATCATAGATGTTCCTAATATCCATTATAATCCAACAAATAGAAGCACACTACTCCACTATCAATGGCCCGAGTAAAAAAGAGCACAAATCATTAAGGAGATATCAACTTTTAAAAGTGAGTATCATCGTATTGTGCATTCACATGTCTTTATATCCTGGTTCCAATTCATTTTGTAGAGTGCGATTATTACTCTATCATACTCAAACATTGGCTTGAAACTAAATCAATGTAAACAAGTCAACCATTTCTGACCAGATACAGATAATAAGCCCGTCACTCACAAATTTTCCGATCCCAATCTCTCCCAATCATCATCATTAGAGCTTTGTCACCCTCAAGACAAAATTGCACTTATGTTATTCAAACGCAACTTCTCGAACCTCCACAATCCTTTCTCCTCGTGGAAAGCACTTTTGGAATGCTGCGATTGGTACGGAGTCACATGCAATGACACCAAAAACCTCATAATCAGTCTCACCGTCACATACCATGACCTAAACATCACAATTCCTCCGTCACTCTCCAACCTAAAATACCTTGAAATTCCCCGTCTCCAAAAGATCCCTTATCTCGTTGGCAAAATCCCTCTCCAAATCTTGAAACTCTCTTATTTTACATCCGTAACTATAAGTTCGACTAATATCCCCTAGCCTTAATCTAGTGGTCCTGTTCATCTCAGGAATCTTGCATTTATTTGATTTATATTTTAACTGTTTCTACGGCTTGATCCCACATTCTCTTGCAAAGCTCCGTTTCTTAGGGCTATTGA